GGGACGGAGCAGAGCCCCACAGGCAGGCGCCGAGGAGCTGCCAGTGCCGGCAGGTCGGTCCTGTGACAGATCATCCTGCTCCCTCAACAAGACAGCCACTCACCTCCGAGTCAGAGGACAAGGTGTGTGAGGGAGATTACAGTGAAATATGTCTTTACGAATGCGAGCCTCACCTCACGAAAGATCACGAAAGATGAACGGCCCCCGGATAACTGTACACGGAGAGGCAGGGAGGCAGCGGTGCTCTGCACGCAGGCCCTCTCCCAGGAGCCGGGGCCCTGGTGGGCTGAGGGGCTGCTGCTCCCGGCTTTGCGCCTCTGCCCTTGGGCAGGCCGGCCCTTTCCCACCGCACTGCCCTCGGGGCTGATTCCTGCTCCTCCCACCGCCCAGGGAAGGCCACAGCCCCTGGAGATTAGGCCCCGGGCTGAGGGTCACACTGGTGATGAGCTTGGCTGGGATTTGAACTCTGATCTCTCTGACCCGAACCCAAGCTCTTAGCCAGACTGCTGCTTCCTGGGGTAGAAATGGCATCAGGCTCTTATACCTGCGAGTGCATGGTATGTTCATTAATGTCCATGATCTCCTCCCATCCTTATACCAGCCGTGATCAGGGCAGGCAGGCACGGCCATCCCATCTTCCAGACGGAGCTCGCTCAGCGCAGTGCGATGGCTCAGTGGATAGAGCGTCGGCCTGTGGACTCAAGGGTCCCAGGTTTGTTTCCAGTCAAGGGCATGTATCTTGGTTGTGGGCACATCCCCTGCAGGAGGCAGCTGATTGATGATTCTCTCTCATCAATGTTTCTAACACTCTATCCCTCTCCTTTCCTCTCTGTAAAAAAAAAAAAAATCAATAAAATATATTAAAATTAAAATTAGAAAATGTGCCTTCCTCTATAGAATGTAAGCTCCTTGCAGGTAGGGATTTGCCTCTGAGTGCCTGGCTGCAATTCCCCTTTGGCATAGATTTAATGGACGACCCTAAGACACATCCCTGCTTACAGGGAGGATGTGGTCAGGAGTGGCCATCCCTGAGCCGTGCCTGGAATTCTCCGGCTCCAGGAGGAGCCCCTGGCAGTGCTGTGGGGGTGAATGCTGCCCATGTGTCTATATGAGCCCGCTGTGTGGCATGGGCACCACCTCCTCCCTCCGCCCGGCCCCCTCCCAGTGAGGCTGTATCCATGCACTGGTGGCTGAGTGAGGTCACCGTGATGCATTTTGGGAATCGTCATGTGGTTCATAGACACTTGAGTTGCTCTGAATGCAAACCTGACATCATAGGGAAGGCAGCAGCAAACAGCACATGCACAGCGAACAGGCAGAGACTGTCTTATTGATTAACAGATGAGGCCTCTATTATCGATCAGAGCTTGCCTAGGACATTTATCACTTTTAATTTCAGGGGTGCCAAATATTTCTGCCTCTGAGCCAGCCAATACAGAGGCCGTTTAAAGGTGCAGGCCGCCCTGGGAGAGGGGGCTGCTGCCTCTCTCTGCTGGCCTGTGTGTCCTGGGACTGCCTGCTTGGGCCATAGGGCTACCCTGGAGGGAGTTGGCGCTGGGGTGGGGTGTGCTGAGCTCGATGAACGGGAGCTGACGTCCGCGGCACCCGTGTGTGAGGAAGGCTCTGGCCAAGTGGCTGAGGACGGGAACTTGCACACACTCAGCTCAGTTTTGTGACTCCAGCATGATAGGCCTGGAGGGGGAGGGCTTGGAGGATGCTAGCTGTGGTCAGGTCGAGCCAAGCTGGCGGCTGCCTCGTCAGCGAGCGCTGATGTGCCGCCTTCCTCCGCGCTGTCTGGTGCACACATCCGGCCCTTGATGTCCCACCTGCCTCCTGCCCTTCTCTCGGTCATTAAAGCGGCCCAGACACCACATCCAGGGCTGTCTTCTAGGAACTCCTCCCACCACATCCCTTTGAAGCGGGGCTCTGGCTTCCTGGGGCTTCCCGGCCCCACCGGGAGCCCTTTCTTTCTAGCCCCACTTCCCTCCTCGGCCCCTTCCCCTTCTCTGGGGAGCCATGAGAACGGATAGAACCAAAGGAAGAAATACAGTGAAAATCAGATCCCTTACAGACACACGGGGAATCATCCTGGCTAACGATTGGGGCTGGGGCAGCTTCTCTTTGCAAAGGGCTGGGGCCGTCCTGGTCTTCCCGCTCTGGCCCGTCCACTCTCTGAGGCTCCCGCTGCATCTCCAGGGCCCATGCCTGCCAGCTCTGGGACACAGGGCGGCTGGTGGACGTCAGGCCTCCTGGCTTTCTTCAAAGCTCTGTAAGCCCCTCCTGGGTCCTGGGATGCCCTCCAGCTTGGAGGGAAAGCCAGAGGGTCATGCTGCTCTCCCTGCTCCTGCAGAAGCCGGCTCCGGCCACCTAGAACAGATGGCAATGCTTCCTTTTAAAGCCCTGAAGGAAAAGTTCCTTTGTATGGCTCCTGGGGCATTTTATCACGCGCTCACTCTGTCAGTCAGCTAACATCTACTGACCTGCTGAAGGTCAATGCCCTATAGGGCCTGACAGTCTAGATCTCCTTGGGCTCCTTAACGCCTTCACTGGTGAGAACTGGTTACTGGTGTTTAGTTTAAGATTGATGGACAACTTACATTCTGAGTTCTACCTCTTAAGGGTGTGCTGATACTCCTGGTTTTTAACGTTTAAAGAGCAGTAGAACCATTTTTCCAAATGGAATTTTACACAGAACCTTGATACAGTCAAGGGGTAAGTTGGATTTCCACTTCTTTGATTTGAGAGAAGGCAGCCAGAGCTCACATCCCTTCCCAGGAAGCATGTCTGTGGGGGCACCAGGAGGCTAGAGGGCATGGGCTGCAGAGCAGAGGCTCTGACATGGGCTGCCAAGTGGGACCCAGGCCAGCTGCTTCAACCGCCCCAGCTTGAGGCTCTCGGATGCTAAAGGGGGTAGTAATGGCGTGTGGTTAAACAGGTTTTAGGATCTAATGAAATGGTATATCCTAAGGACTTAGCATCCTGCAGTGTATGATAAAGTCTCGGGAAACCTGAGATGCTTTGAAAACACACTGGATTGTTTCTGCTACAGCATTCTGCCTCTTAGGAACCCTGCTAGAGAAACTGAGGCACAGGCACCCTTAGGGAGCTGCTTAGTCATGCGGGAGGAGCAAAGGCAGCGGCAGGGGAGGGAAGAGCAGTGAGGGCCGGGTGCTTGGTGCATGCTTTCTCCAGTTTTGTCAATAGAAAGAGCCTGGAATAGGTAACAAGTGAGACCAGGCGTCACTCAAGCCCGCAGACTCAGGGGGGATTGAGTGGTGCCAAGGGGCAGTGAGGACAGCTCCCTGCCGAGGCTGGGAAGCCGAGGAGAGGAATTAGAATCAGTGAGGGCCACTGGATCTTCTTGAGCAAGGAAGTGTGAGAGTCATGTGATCGTCAAGGGGGGCCTGCATCTACTGGTTGGCTCCAAGGGCAGTGGCCACCCTGAGTCCTCGGTGACAGTGATACAGTGATGATGGACAGGCAGAGGAAGAGCAGCATCCAGCAGACTCTTTTTTTTTTTTTTTTGAGAAAACCACCAAGGCTCACACAGGTGCTCTCTGGCTGAGATAACATCTTGAAGACGATGAGCAAGCAGTAAAAAGTCCCCTTGAACTTGATTTTTGTGACATTGTCGCTTGGAGCCTTGTGAATAGTGGTTCCAAAAAAGTTTGCCGAGTTGAATTGCACTGAATTGATGAGTTTCTCTCACAAGTCGGTACAGTCATGGGTCCCCCTGGGGCTGGAGCCGATGCGTGCTCCCTCCCTCGGGGGCCGCGCGTCCTCAGACGGAGACGGGCCCACAGGTGTTGGTAATGGAGCACGTGCGGCTGGGACTGGGCCCCGTACGGGGTGCGTCTGAACAAAAAGAAGGGCTCCCTCCCCCAGGCAGGGGGACAAGGGTAGAGAAGCTGATGCGTGAACGAGGAGTAGAGACCGCTGTACCGAGGGGCCGGGACGAGGGGCGAGAATGTCAGAGATGGGGGTGCAGAGGGTTGCGGAGACCTTGTGATGAGGAGGACGCAGCTCCTCCCAGGGCTGGAGCCTGGAGAGCAGAGTGAGGAAGCAGAGACGAGGCAGGAAAGTGAAGCACACCCAGAAGCGCTTTGTGCCCTGGCCGGTTGTTCAGTGGTTAGAGCGCTGGCCCCAGCACCGAAAGGTCACTTGGTTTGGTTCCCAGTCAGTCCTGTGGATTCGGTCCTGGCCCCTGTCAGGGTCCTGGCAGGTGGCAACCAATTGATGGGTCTCTCTCTCCTCCTCTTTCCTTGCCTTCCACTCTCTAAAAAATCAAGGGGAAGGATGTCCCGGGGCGAGGATTAGCAGACAAAGAAAAAGAATCGCTTTGTGAGCTATCAGGAGGCGGTTGGACTTTACCCAGAAGGCAGTAGGGAGTCATTTCGGTTTTTAAGTGGCCAGCTGTATGAGTGGCCTGGGAGCTGTGGGTTTAGCTTTGGACACATAGAGGTAGGGGTTATCCAAGTAGAAGTATGTCAGTAATTCCCTTAAAGTTAAGGTGACCACACATCCCGTTTTTGGTGGGACAGTCCCGATTTTTAACAAATTTGGGACTTTTTAAAAATGCTGCAGGACATGGGACAAATTGTTAAAAATCGGGACAGTCCTGCCAAAAGCAGGACGTCTGATCACCTTACTTAAAGTGTAATCTAGGCAGCAGAGCACCCTCCACTCCCTCCTCCCCATCCGCACCTGGAGCAGCCCCCAAGTCCCCTCTCACCGGGAGCCCGTCTCTTTTGTCTGGGTCACTCTGATTTTGCTCCCTCTTCTCACCGGGAGAACCTGGACGGGGCACTTAGCGTTCATGTGGGCGGTGGTTCCATTGTGAAGGAGGGCTGAGCTGGGCCGGCTGCTGGGGCCTTGGATTCCCCCGGACACGTCACAGGTGTCACCCCTGCGCCAGGCCCACCTGCATGGTGTGGGCCCAGGACCCCACCTCCGGATGGGATGCCACTGGGAAATGAGTAACCGCCTCCCCTTTCTTTCAGCGGGCGCCAAAGCCTTCGTCTGCGATCAGTGCGGTGCCCAGTTCTCGAAGGAGGACGCCCTGGAGACACACAGACAGACCCATACAGGTGAGTCGGCTTCGATCCCCGTTCTCCAGTTCCTGCAGAGTGACCGCACATGAAGATGAGGCATCCTGGCTGCACCCGCTTCCAGCCAGGCGACATCCAGGCATCTCCCGGGGACGAGTGGGGGTGGCTGGGCAGGTGTGGCTTTGCCCCCGAAGAGCATTGCCCTGGATTAGGCCAAATCTCTGTCTCTAACAGGCCCCTGAGCTCCGTCTTCTCAGAGACCTCTTGCACTTTTGTTGGGATCTTTGAAAGTCCATGATGTTGTCTAAGCATTCCCTTCCTCTGAAGGGTCAGGAAACCCGTTATCCCTGTGACCAGCTCTGACATCCTTGCATGGCCCAGTGGCTGGTCCCCCATCTGCGAGGGTAGAGTCCTGGTCTACAGGAAAGCAGTCTGCACTCAGGGTGAACAAGCAACGGCATCACGTTATTTGACTTCAAAGCACTGATTTCACATCATCAGTCTCATCTCATCCCTGTGCTCAGCACTGTCCTCGTCATGGGTGTGCCTCCCACTTATGGTGCCAGGCACGGGTCTCAGTGTCCCTGTCTGGCCAGCCTCTCAGTAAACGTGTGAGGTCAGAGGTGACTCCCAGGTCAGAGATGTGGAAACCGAGGCTCAGAGGACGGAGGTGACTTGCCTGAGTGAGTGAGGACGGGAGTGGACAGCTTAAGACCTCCTGGGATTAAACCCAGCTCACCTCTTAGCTCTGCCACTTCCTGTTTGTGGGACCATGAGAAAGTTACTTAAACTCCCTCAATTTCGGTTTCCTCACCCTTTTGGAAAGTGGAATAATGATAGTCCCTACCTCATAGCATAAAGTAGGGCTTAAATAAGATGTTTTATTTGGGGTGCTTTGCCGGATGTTTGGTGCTTAATAAGCATTCAATTCATAGTAATAGATGTATTTAACTTAATAAGTATGTGTTGCATTCCTACAACATTCCTGGCACTGTTGGGCCATTTAGGGATAGTGACATAGGTGAGAGGCAAAGCTTCTCATGGTACTGTGACCCTAACAGGGCGAGCGTACAGGCAAATAGGTGTCTGATACCCTGCCACATTATCATAAGTGCCAGTAAGAACACGTAAAACAGGGTTTGGGTGGAGAGTGATGGGGGGATAGTTTTAATGAAATGGTCCGGGAAGGCCTCTCTGAGAAGGTGGCATCTGAGCAGAGTCCTAAAGGCAGGGAGGGAGCCGCATGGAGCTTTCAAATGCTTGCGGACCACAAGCTGATCAGAGCCTCAAAAGAACTCTTATAACTCAGCAATAAAAATAGAAATAACCACCATTAAAAATGGGCAGAGGATCCGATAGACATTTCTCCAGAAATAGACCAATAGCCCAGGGAGGGACACTCAGCCCTGTGAGCGTCAGAAACTACAGATCAAAATCTCGGCGCGGGCCTGCTTCCCCGGAGCAGGATGTGGCTGTAACAAAAGTGCGTCGGCGAGGAGGCTGGCGAGGATGTGGAGAAGTCAGAGCCCCCCGCTGCTGGTGGGAGTGCGGGCTGGGCGGGCGCTCTGGGAAAAGTCTGGTGGCTCCGCCAAAGGTTAAGCACAGTCACCGTAATGCAGGGCAGGGCCACTCCTAGGAGAAATGAGCACCCAGGAGAAATGAGCACACACGGGTACACAAGAATGTGGGCACACGTTTATAGCAGCATTATTCACCGTCGTCAGAAGGTAGACTAACCAGTGTCTGCCCACTGATGAATGGATGAACATGCCATGGAATATTATTTGGCTGCGAAAAGGAACGAGGTACTGATACATTCCACACACAGGCGAACCTTAAAAGCATCACGCTCTGTGAAAGACGCCACATGGTGTCCGATTTCATGTATGTGAAACACCCCGAGGAGGCAAGTCCATAGACAGAAAGGAAATTGGGGTTCCTTTTCGAGGGCAAATGTTCTAAAACTGTGGTGGTTACACAACTCTGAATGTATTAGAAACTATTGAACTGTGTACAGTCACTCGTAATATGGGTTGGAGCTGCGTGTCCACTCACACACGGGTCTTTTTCAGGAAATGGCTGTGCTGTTTGTGCTCTGTGGATGGGAGTCCGCGGGTACGGAGGGTTGGCAATATGCATTGATCTATGTCGTTTTACATAGGGGACTTAAGATCGTCGGTCCTGGGGGACAACTGAGTATTGGGGAGTTAACAGTTATACACGGATTTTCAACTGCAACGGAAGGTCAGCGCCCCTAGTTCCCCATTGGTCACAGGTTAGCGGTGCTTCAAAAGCATGAATTGTACAGTGTGGTACGTGAATTATATCTCGGTAACGCTGCATACACCTGCATACTCCATGCATGTGCACACACCTGTTTTAAGTGTCCAGTTCAGCGGTTTCGGTATATTACTCTGTTAATTTTTAAGGCAGTGGGAAAACATCTGTAACATGAACTCGCCATTCTAACAGTTTTGAACTACCGGCCCCAGCCTGTTTTCAGAGCCCGGGTTTTGCACTGGCTTTGAAAGTCAGCACGTGTCCTCGGACCAGGAACTTTCTAGGACTGATGAAGTGAAAGAACCTGAGAGAGCTCAGCCCTTTCCCGGAAAGGGTGGTTTACTGTCCAAAGAGAGGTGATTGGGAAGAGCCTGGAGTTGGAGTCAGGAGTCTGGGGTGGGGCTCTAACCCCGCGGCCTGGTAGGGGAGTCACCTGGTCTTGTTGCTCCTCTTTCTTCCCCCTCAAGCCCCCTCGCCTGCGGAAGGAGTCTAGTGGGTCCCTCCTGCGGCACAGATAGGCCCAGCCCCTCAGCCTCCTTTTGCTTCTCCTCCAAGCTGAGCACTTGGAGTGCGTGAAAGGGGAAACAGTTGAGCCCCAATTAAGGCCGAGAGACCAAGGTAAGAGAAAGGCGCAGAGAAAGGCGCAGAGAAAGGCGCCTTACCCTCCTGGGTGTGGTTGTGGGCACGCTCCCCCAGCGGAGAGGAGCGCCTCCTAGTGCCACCGGGCAGAGGTGCAACAGCGACCTATCCTCAGCAGAGGGCTGGCACCCAGGCAGCTCTTCCTGACACATGGCAGAGTTCAGGTGTCACTTTTAGTGCTGTTTCCACAGAACCCACACGGCTTCAGACTTCTCTATAACCAGTCATTGGAGAAACACAACTTGAAATTCAGTTGTCATCTCCGTTCTCAAACAGGGACGTCAGGACGGGAAGAGGCCTGGTGGTGAGGAATGCTGGGAGGGGTGCTGGGGAAGCCAGCGGGTGCTGGAGCTGTGGAGAGCCAACGAGAGAGCAGGGAGAGAGCTCTGGAAAGGAGGAGAAATGGAGACCCCCCCCAACCCGGAGAGTAAAGTAATGGGAGTGCCGCCTTATACTTCTGATTCCTTAGTTTACAAAACTCTTTTCTGTAGTAAACCCATTTAACAGATGAGAAAACGAAGGTCTAGAAGCCACCCCCTAGAAGGTGGAGAGCTGGAACTTGACCCAACTCCAACACCCATGCTCTTCCCACGACTCCTCAGCTGCCTGCACATTGATTTGCTGTTTAAAGAGAGCATGTCAGAGACCATTTAGCTCATTGATCTCTGATCCGTTTGATTAAGAATCCTCAACATGCCCTAACCGGTTTGGCTCAGTGGATAGAGTGTGGTCGGCCTGCAGCCCGAAGGGTCCTGGTTTGATTCTCTTCAAGGGCACGAACCTTGGTTGTAGGCTCCTCCCCAGCCCGGACCTTGGTTGGGTGTGTGCAGGAGGCAAACAACCAATGTTTCTCTCACATCAATGTTTCTCTCGGTCTTTTCCTCCCTCTTCCACTCTCTCTTAAAAAAAAAAAAAAAAAAAATCAATGAAAAATATCCTGGGGTGAGGATTAAAAAAAAAAGAAGAAGAATCGTCAGCACCCCGATGCCCATGTGCCCCTCCTGAGAGGAGTCAGTTTCCCTGAAACACACTGGGTCTGGAGTTCCCTGCCTGAGGCCCAGTGGGGAACTCACAGAATTAGCATAGCAGTGCGTCAGATGGGTGATGGTGGGCCGTACAGGTATTCTTGACACTGGAAATTTAGTAAAAAGTATTTCCTTTTACATTTTAGCCGAAGACTGTCATCTTTTGACCCTTTAGTTGTCGTTAATCCTCACCGGAGGATATTTTTTCCATTGATATTTAGAGAGTGGAAGGGAGAGGGAGAGACAGAGAGAAACATATCGACTGGTTGCATCCTGCAGGCGGCTCCAGAGATTGAGCCTGCAACCAAGGTACATGCCCTTCCTTGACCAGAATCGAACCCAGGGACCCTTCAGTCTGAGGGCTGACACTCTATCCACTGAGCCAAACCGGCCAGGGCCAACATCTGAAGCCACTGAGCCTGGAAATCTGGCACAGAGTGTGTGACCCCACCTGTCCCCTCCCTCCAAGGTCTTGGTGAGCTCAGGCTGGGGCCCTGGGAGGCCACAGGGTGGTTGGGCTGGGCTCGGGCTTTGTTGCCACACTTCAGCATTCTGTTTTGGTACAGGGAAGACATCGAGGAGGTAAACAGAGATCACTTTACACCTTTTATATTATGACAAATACATATTGCAAAACACTGCTGCTTCCAAAATGTTTGGGTGGCAGAGCAGCGAGGAATTAGCAGCTACACAGCTCCCGAGATGCTGGTACTTCATTCACGCATCAGAACTTTTTGACACTTTCCAGCAAAATAGAAAGTGAGAAAGCACACACACAACCCCCCACATACACACCACATGCACACCACACACACACACACACACACACACACACACACACACGCAGGCACGCGCATACACACATGCCCAGCGCACCACTGAGATTCTATATCAGGAAGGTCTTAAATTAGGAAGGAGTTCTTTAAGTGCAGATAAACTGATAAATACCATTAATGGCTTAATTTATACCGTGGGTTTGAAATTTGACGCATGGACACTATCTTGGCTCAGGAAACACAAGTGGGTTTGTGCCAGAGGTTTTAATGACCGATCAGTAATATAAATTGCTGCATCACTGCACAGAAATAGCTTCTC